ACAGGACCCCAGGGAGACATACTAGATTTTATAAAATATTTTTAATATTTTAATTTTTTTTCTTAAAATTATAATATTGAGAGTCTTAATGTTACTGAACACGATTCAGTAAATTAAATCAGATATCAAAGAAAAGTTTAAACCAGTCATCCTGATCATGACTGAGAAACCTGGCTCAGGAAGGTAAACTTTCAGCTACAGAGTTTATAGCCATGCAGCTTCACAAGCTTGTCACGTAAGTAAAAATTATAAAAAGACTTGTATGGACCCATTTCCCAGGTCCATCTTTAATGTGTCTTGCAGTATGGACTGGAAAGTCCACCCATGAAACTAGATTAATTTTCCTGACTGTAATGGTCAGTTATACCTATATATTGATTCTATGGTAAACAGACTATCTGGAAGTATCTTTTGAGAAAAAGACAGTGTTGGAATAATGGATTGTTCTGCATCTGTATGGACTATTTGGCTTAACATGATGATCTCCAGTTACATCCATTTTCCTATAAATGACACAATTTTGTTCTTTATGGGTATATAATACTCCATTTTGTATATATAGCATATTTTCTCCATCATCTATTGGCATATACACCTAGGCTATTGTGACTCATGCTGAAATAAACATGGGTATACATGCATCTGAAAGTATGCTGACTTTCAGATAAACACTGAGAAGTGGTAGCTAAATCATATCACTAAGCTACAGTCCCAGCCCTATTTTTAGATTTTGAGAGGTTTCAATAATGATTTTCATATTGGCTGTACTGATTTACATTTTCACAAGCAGTATCTAGAGTTCTTTTCCCTTTCACATCCTTCCCACATTTATTGTTATTTGTATTTTTTTTTTTTTGAGAGAGAGAGAGAGAATTTTTTAAATATTTATTTTTTGGTGGACACAACATCTTTATTTTATTGTTATGTGGTGCTGAGGATTGAACCCAGCGCCCCACGCATGCCAGGTGAGCGCATTACCGCTTGAGCCACATCCCCAGCCCTGTTATTTGTATTTTTGATGATTGCTGTCTGACAGAAACAAGATGAAATCTCAGTAAAGTTTGGATTTAAATTTCCTCAATGGCTAAGGAAGAACACTTTTTTTCATATAATTTTTGGACATTTTTACTTCTTCTTTTGAGAAGTATGTCTGGATCATTTGACCATTTATTGAATGTGTTGAGTTTTTAAAGTTCTTTGTCTATTCTGGTTATTAGTCACCTGTCAGAATAGTAGCTGTAGGCTCTGTCAGAATTTCATTCTGTTAATTGTTTCCTTTGCCCTGCAGAAGATCTTTATTCCTTGCTACTACTACCTGAACTAAAGGAGTCCTGTTCAGGAAATTGTTGCCTGTGCTTTTATGTTGAAGTGTTTCCTTATAGAAATTGCAGAGTTTCTGATCTTATACTTTAGGTTTTTTCATCCATTTTGAATTGAATTTTGTACAGGGTGGGAGATGGGGAAGGATGAGTTTTTCTTTTGTCTGAATGTCTATACGTGGGAAAATAAAATGAACAAGTCTTATTTATTTATTTTAGAAATTTTATTGGTCTGCTGAATCCTCAGATTTGAAATTACTATTTTAAAAGCCTGTTTCAGCTTTAGAACCATCAAATAAGACCTATGGTATTTTTTTATAGGGAGATTTTAACTGTCATCTTGTAGGTAGTTTCAGAGGTATGAAATGGATAGTGGGAACACAATACATTTTATAGAAATGTTTATTTTACAAGCAACAATGTATTCATTATTCCTTTGCTATATTTTGCTTATTTTGATGTTTCAAGTAGAAGGTTTTGAAAGCAGTTTCACTTTCTGTTTTTCATAATAAACTAACATCTTCTCATTCCTGATTTCTCTGAGTTTTCAGTGCTGTTGAAAGGCAGAATTCAGAAAGCCCCCAATACTGAAATGATTGAGTGAATCTGTGTAAGATTTAGTTGATGAATCTAAATTTGAAGGCTTTTCTTACTTGTCTTAATGGATCTCTGAATAAAATAGAAATTCTTTTTTGTATGGGTTCCCTTTTGATGATTGCTGTGCTTTTTTCTAGAGAGTCAACCAGAAGCACTTTCTATCACTCCTCTTATGGGGAGAGTTAATGTAGTTTCCAACCTGAGCATTGCTCATGAAATCATGGTGAACAAAGATTTATATGTGGAAGAGAAAGATTTACCTCCAAACAGGTACAGACTATTCTAATTTTTCTGTTTCATATTTCCTGGTACAGGTTCATACCATAGTGGCTTTTTGAACATTTTTGAAGCATTTTATGAATAACTTTAATGTTTGATTATGTCTTGAGTTGTATCAACAAATGAAACAGCAGATCAATCAGTATTATTATTAGTTAAAAAGGGTCAAAGTAGCAATATATATATATATATATATATATATATATATATATATATATAAATACCTTTATTTTATTTTTATGTGTTGCTAAGGATTGAACCCAGTGCCTCATGCATGCCAGGTGAACACTCTACCACTGGGCCAAAGCCCCAGCCCAGCATATTATATTTGAATAAGAATAAATTAGTGCTGATTACTATCAAAATGTTCATTCCAGGCTCTCAGTTAATAATGAAATATAGAATGAATTTCAGATCTTTTTAGACAGAATGGGAAGGTTTAGTTTGTCTGTAGATTAAACAGGTACAGATGAATAATCATTTTTCTTTTTTAATTTATTTTTTTAGTTGTAGTTGGACACAACACTTTTGTTTTATTTATTTATTTTTATGTGGTGCTGAGGATTGAACCCAGGACCTCATATGTGCTAGGCAAGTGCTCTATCACTGAGCCACAACCCCAGCCCTGAATAATCATTTTTCTAATAGTGGTATTCGGTACTCTTCATGTGATAAGAGATTTTACAGATCATTTCTCCTTCATAATTGACTTACTAAAGATATTAGTGAATCAGATTCAGAACCCAATTGATAAATAATACCCTTCTAAAATTAGGCTTTGGGGCTGGGGATGTGGCTCACGGTGGTAGATTGCTTGCCTGTCATAGTGAAGCCCTTGGTTCAATTCTCAGCACCAAAAAATAAAATAAAGTTAAAATAATAAAATAAAATAAACTTAGGCTTTTTTTGTTTCTTTTAAGTATGTTGATATTTCAGTGCATGATTAAGAGTCATTCAGCAAGTATGAATTGAATGCCTCTAATGGATTATTAATAGTTAAATGGGTAGATTTTTCATAAGAATCTGTATTCTATAACACTTATAATTTACCACTTTAAATGCTTCTGTTATGTTGCTACTTTAGTGAGTCTGTTAATGAAGCACCTTGGTCTGACAGTGGTTCTTTTCATCTTCACACATCTTAGATTTGTCTTGCCTGTCGCCAGCAGTGACCCAGGCCAAGCCATTTCCCTAAAATAAGTTTTCGCCAAAACACGGGTCTCCTAGCATCATCTTCATTGAATTCATTTGGAGCTTGATTTAGACTAGTACAAAAAGCAAAACTAGGAGAGTGAAGATTTGTTAAAGTAGTCAGGGACTGTGGTGGTAATGAGGTGTCAATAAATTAAGCAGGTGGAATAATATTATCCATAGCTTGAATTTCATTACTTTGTTACTAACAGCCTTCTTCAAGTGTAGTAATGCACAAAGTATACTAGAAAAAAGGCTGAAATAGAGTTTGGGGTCATCTATTATCTATAGATATTGACAACTGGTTTCACTTTGGGCTTATAAAAGAATACTAATTACAATGATAGACTCTTCATATTCTTTTTTGTTGTTGTTTTTTTAAAAAATAATATGTGTTCTTTACAGCTATACAGGACAGTAGAATCTATTTTGATACATTTGTACAATAATATGCTCTTAAGGGCCTGCATTGTCATACATTCATTCAACAAACATTAAATACTTATTAGGTGGAAGGCAGTTTTTGATGGGTTAAATGGTGTCTTTGCCATCAAGAAGCTTCTCTAGGAGAGGCAGTCAATTAGTTATTGTGTAGAGTGATAAATTCTCTCATATCTAGTGTATGGAGTTTTATGTTAGTGCTTAGCTGCCTGGAGAATGTCAAAGAACACTTTCCTGAAAAAGTAACATTTGAGTTTAATTTTGGAGTATGAATAGACACTTTTTAGATGGTCTAGGGAGAAGGACTCTTAAAAGAGAAAGAGGCTCTTCAGAGGCATAGAATGGTAGAAAACAATTATGCATTCATTGTAGTAGAATGTTACTGTTGGAGGCACAAAATTAGAAGAGGTGGCAGAATAGGATTATGAAGGATCTTAGAGACCATGTGTCCAGCTGGTGGTAGGGAGCTCCTGAAAGACTTTAAAGGACCATGACATCATGGTCAGATTTGTATCTGAAGAAAATTAATGAGTTTGGCAAGTATATGTGGCATTATGGTAGGGGTAAGACCATGTGGGGCAGGGTAGCCATATAGGAGACTCTTGCAATAGTCCAGGTAGGAGATTGTAGTAGGTGGGGATGGATTCCAGAGATAGGTAAAGAGCAGCATCTATGGAATTTGGTGACTAAGTGGGTAAAAGGGATGAGGAGAAAGGAATTAAGAAGGACTCTGGTATATACCAGACAGATAATAGTTGATGACTTCTCACAAATTATATTGGTGTTTTAAAGGATGAACTCTGACATTTTTTCCATTTATTTTTGTATTGTTTGTATTTTTAAAATAAAAACCCATTACTTTTTACTTAAACAGTAATGTTTTTAGGGAAAAAAGGCTTAGCTTTCTGGTTTGCAGGACCAAATATAAATAAAGAATAGTTTTGAAGCACGAAAATAATGAGCTCCTTTTTGGACTTGATGAAGTGCTTGAAAGAGCTTTCAGTGTCATAAAGAAGGAAAACCTTTCCCCATATTTCAGGCCTAAAGGAAAAAGATCATCTAGTTCAAACGTATAAGTATATGGAAATAGAAACAGCTCACATCTAGTTAGATGCAGGACTAGGGTCAGAACTCAGGGTCTAAGCCTCTAGTTCATAGTTCTTTCTACTGCAGGAAGAGAGTGTCTCTGGAACCACGAGGTGCCCTTGTGAGAGGATTTGGCCCATGCATTTGAATTTGAGACTAACTTAAGTTTATTCAACCCTTCTCAAATCTAAACATAGTTCCTCCTTGCCTGTTGATTTAATGATTTTTTATGATTTTAAATGTTGTTTGGGAAATTATTATCCTATTTTATTTTTCTAAGTAAAGTGGAATTTGCACATTTAACCTTCTTAACAGTCTGGAAAGCAGGTTTGTGGAGACAATGTACAATGCTTTTTGGGAACATCTACATGAGCAGTTATCAAGTACTCCTCCTGACTTCTCTTGTGCCCTTGAACTTCTGAAAAAAGTTAAGGAGGTGAGTAATCAACTTCCATCCATCAGGTTTTTTTTTTTGTTGTTATTTTTATTTTTTGTTTATTTGCTTGTTTATTTGTACTGGAGTTTGAACCCAGGAGTAGCTTTACCACTGCACTATATCCTCAGTCCATTTTATTTTTCATTCTGAGATAGTGTTTTGCTAAATTTCTCAGGCTGGCTTTACAATCCTCCTGTCTCAGCCTTCCCAGTATCTGGGATTATAGGTGTGCACCACTGTGTGTGGTTCCTTCCTTTAGATGACTTGAAGTTCCTGAGTATCCTAGACCTTTAGATTGTTAATGGCTATTAATAATCCTAAGCAGCATACTTTCTGAACATGGGCAGTATAGAGTGGTTTCTATTTTATTTGTATGAGATGATTATGAACAGTTAGGATATTACTATAAAAACATCATATATTTTCAATTAAATAAATTTTTACTGAACTCTTACTATGTTTTATGTGCTTCAGAAACACAGAGATGAGTAAGAATACCTTTATTCACAGGGGACTTGTACTTTTGAGTCAAAAGGCTATTTGAAGTGAACCTTAAAGGATCCTTTGGTTATTCCATCCTTGTGTTTTGGAGTAAAACAACCTAAAATATCATTATCCTTTATTAAGAATACTTTATCACTTTGTTGTGGTGTGAATTTTGTATTTCTCATATCCTTCACTTTCTTTTTATCATACCCTTACTTTTGTTCCTATCTTTATCTCATTCTGCCTTGAAAATAATAACTGCTACTATAAATAACCCAATGAAGCCTTGCACTGTAATTGCACCCTAAACAGAGTGAAACAATACTAAGAAATTTAGAGATCCACGTTCCTGACCCCCTAAAAATATGGTCAGACATTTGGCCTAAAAGCTTTGTTCACTAAAGAAAGTTCATGATTTTAAAGAGAATTTGTTTCTTTGATTTCCTTTTCTGGGCAGATCTTGCTATCACTGCTATTACCACGCCAGAATCGTTTAAGAAATGAGATTGAAAAAGCTCTGGACATGGATCTCCTCAAACAGCAAACAGAGCGTGAAGCCCTGAATGTTTATCATCTCTCCAAATTTATTCTCGATTTGATGAGCCTGCTATGTGCACCAGTTTGAGATGAAGCAGTGCAGAATCTAAAGAGCATAACAGATCCAGTACAATTGCTTAGGTGAGAATCTAGACATGCTGTCTCAGTCTGTTTTCTGTCGGAGTCCAGCTCCAACAGGGGGTCTCAGGAGATGAATGGATGGTGAGGAGTCGGCGAAAGCGGGGTGGAGAAACAACACAGACACCAACGTAAAGGTGCTGAATCCCAATCTTTACTTGTGAAGTTGATCATATATACTTTTCATTTTGGCAGGCTCACAGTACTTTGTGGTTACAAAACAGGAATCATTATTCAAAGAAACAAAATATTACGTAGCTACAATTAGAATAGAAGAATGTATCTTGGCTTATGCATAAGCAAGCATTTGTACTTTCAGTTCGCGTTTTGCTTTGAGCTGTTTCTGCTTATTTAACTTTTAATAATAGTTAGAAATATCCCAAACTATTGGCCTATACCTTGACTATTCTTTTTTGACTTACTGACTGGAACCGGTGCCATGGTTACGGCAAGTGGTTGACTTTTATTAATTTTAATCAAACAAGAGTAAGAGCACAAACCATTGTGCACAGGAACAAGAACAAGTTTCCCAGTACTAAGCACTAATCTGTCTTCTTAACATTAATTTTTCTTCTCTAGATTTTAATTTAATTTCTCAAAAACTTCCTTGACAGGAATACAGGGAGTTTTTCATTAGACATTAACAATTTACGCTCCACAGCTGAATCATTGCATTTAGAGAAAACAGATCTATTCTTTAGAAGTAGTTGCATTAATTGGGAAAGTCATGTTTTTTCCTCCATACTTAATGGTCATATGAGAAGTCGCAACTATACTTATTAAAGGAATACAAAAACAAACCAGCCCATTCCCAGAAACATACTGCGCTCCTCCAGAGGATGGACGCCTTGCGCCATCCACCTCAGTAGGGCCTTGCCATTGCCTGAGTCAGGGGAAGGGCGCAGCAGTTTTCTATAACTATTATGTGTAATACCACAGACTGGATAATTTACAAAGAAAATAATTTTATTTTGCCTCATGCTTGGAGGCCCAATGCTAATAAGCCCCATATGTTGATAGCCTTGTTGCCGGCACAGACCAAAGGTGGCATAGGTATCACATTGTGAGTGAGAGATTATGTGTCCTGCCTCTCTTTTTCCTTTTTTTTGGAGGGGGGAGCCGGGTACTGGGATTGAACTCTGGAGCATATTCCCAGCCCTATTTTGTATTTTTTTTAGAAGCAAGGTCTTACTGAGTTGCTTAGTGTAAGGCTGTTTTATTTTCACAATCCACCTGCCTCAGCCTTACAAGCTGCTGAGATTACAGGTGTGTGCCAATACGCCTGGTTCTTTTTTCTTATGAAACCACTAATATTCATTTATGGGGTTTTCACTCTGATAACCTTATATAATCCTAATCACCTATCAAAGGCCTCACCTATAAACACCATAGTTGGATTGTTTCCACCCTCTTAATACCTCAAAATGGTATTAAAATTTCACATGAGTTTTAGAGGAGGTGAACCATATTCAAATCATAGCATGTACTGTTCCTGAAGTCTAGTCTAGATACCATGCCAGAAAACTATGAGCCAGATACTATGATATAACTCCTGTCTTGTTTAGCTCTTCTGTTCTGAAGACCTGACTAACATCTCTTTTCTTCCTGGACTGTTGAAATTTATTTTACAATGATAATCTCTCATGATTCCTTTCATAATCTTTACAACATTTAAGGCCCCGTTTATGGCATGACAACTTAATGTGATACTGTAAAAACATTAAAGTACAGTAATTATTATATCTATAGATTTCAAACCACTCTTTCCCAGATGTTCTCCTGTTTGTCTAACCAAAATTCTATGAGGGAACAGGAATGAAGGTTATTCTTGTTTCTTAGATAGAAGAACCCAAACCTAGAAAAGCAAAATGATTTGCCCACTGGGTTAGAAATTTAACAACCTACATTCCAAATATCCACATATAGTTGTTAGCATTTTGGTGATATTCTTCCTCCCTTTTTCTAAAGTGATGGTGTAGCTACAGTGCAATGAATTCAGGCTGGTAGCTAAGAGGTCAAATATATCTGTTCTTATCTCTGCCACCAATTCAGTTTGTGGCCTTAGGTCCCTGGCCAGTGCCTTTGTGTCTTAGTCTGTTGTATGTTGCTGTAATAGAATATCTGAGGATGGGTAATTTATAAATAAAAGAGATTTATTTCTTACAGTACTTGAGGCTAGAAAGTCTACAAGTGAGGGACTGCATCAGTTGATGGTAGAAGACATCAAATGGCCAGAGAGAACTGGAGATCAAACTCAGAGCCTCAACCCTTTGTATAATCAGTATTAATCCTTTCATGAGGGTGAAGCCCTCATAAGCAAATCACCTTCCAGTAGGCTCCATTTCCAACACTGTTGCATTGGGTATTAAGTTTTCAACACAGGCTTTTTTGGGGACACACTCAAACCATACCAAATTATAAACTGTAATAGGACCATTGTCTTAAAGGCTTCACCTAACTCTAAGTACTATGACTATATGATTCTTTGTTTGAGTCCCACCTCTCCATACTAGAATTTCTTTTCATGGTGTAAATATTCTTTTTCTCTCTATGACAGGGGCATCTTCCATGTTCTGGGCCTGATGAAGATGGACATGATAAACTACACTATACAGAGCCTTCAACCCTATATCCAGGAACATTCGGTCCAGTATGAACGAGCTAAATTTCAGGAACTCCTTGATAAACAGCCCAGTATGTTAAAAATTCAAGAGCAGGAGTGGGGAAAATTTGACACTGGGCTTGCTTTCTTACAGTGATTTTCTGTTCTTTTGCTTTGTTTTTTTAAATAGAAAATTTCTTCCTTAGGGAAGACGTAGGGATAAAGATCATTTCTCTAAATCAGAAAGACCTACAAAATCACTTCTTTATTTACCAAGACTATATTTCAAAATCTAAATCTTCAAGCCTTGGAGTTTGAAATTATATATTCCCTTCTCTTTCATAGATCTTCTCAATTATACCACAAAATGACTAACCAAAGCAGCCATAGACCTCACTACACCATTTCCAAGTTCTGACTCTCCCAGCTTCTCCTCCAGCATAGAATATTCATCTCCAGATCAGGAACCTAACAACCCAGAGCTTCCCAGTCTCACAATGGTGCTATACCAGGGGTACTTGAACCTCCTTCTCTGGGGTCATGGAAATGAAGAATTCCCTGAGGTAGGATTCTGTGTTGGGTCGTTGTCTTGTTATTTTGTAGTCTGTGCCTCCGTTTACTGACAGCTTGTTTTTATTCTACCTCACCAGACTCTGCTGGTGGACAGGATCCGGCTCCGGGAGATGGAGTCCAAATTGCACCGCTTAACTATCCTGGCCTCAGTCTTGTTGGTGGCAAGAAGTTTCTCTGGCAGTGTTTTATTCAGCTCACCTGAATTTGTAGATAAAATAAAATATATAACTAAGGCCTTAACTGAAGAATTTAACTCCAGGTATGTTACATAGATCTTTCTTAAGTAGAAAATAATGGGGGCATTTGGGACACAGGTAGACAATATAATATTATTCATTGCAAACCACACAGAGCAGAGGCTTTTGGGGACCATCTCCAAAGATAGTCGGAGTTTTTGATAAGCCATATTGAAACTTGGGATAGAAAACACTTCTTATTGTATTTGCTATTTAATTGGGTAAGTTGGAAAACAGCCATGGAAAATATCCAAGAAAATCTTAATACAGATTTAAAGTTTACAAGACTAAGAATATTGAGTGGATCCAAGAATGGAAACAACCCTTGTTTCCTTTGAAGATGGAGTATGGTATTGTATGTATGAATTAGCTGATATCTTGAAGGTAACAACAAAAGTATTTCATCTGCTGGAGGTAGAGAAACAGAATTCTTCCTTGAGTGGCTTAGCCGCTGCTATGGGGCTTTCTGGGCTTTGCTCTTATGCTAGGGCTGCTCTGTTTTCTATCCTTCATTATCTAGGCCTGAAGAGACTATGCAGAATGTGAGTGAACAGGTATCTGAGGAAATTCATAAAGGTCTTAAGAACATGGGCCTCACTGCTCTGAGTAGTGAAAATACAGCATCTCTTATAGGCCAACTCCAGAACATTGCCAAGAAAGGGAATTGCATTCGTTGCATCATTGGTAAGAGTTCCTGTGATAATTGTGGGGAAGAGTGGTGATAATATGTGGGGTGGATAGGTAAATTTGACTGGGGAATGGAACAAAATGATAATTTAGGAAGTATTTTAGCTTTAGCTTTCCTCATCTATAATGTGCAGGGTTGAAATGGACTTCTTTCAATATGAAAAGTGAATATATGGTTTTAGGTTGGATCTACACCCAATTTAACTCAAAGGGGTGATCTATTATCCCACCAACCCTATTAAGTCATCCTGATAATTCTCTAACTATAGCCCAAGATCTATGTTGAAAAACCCTGTCTCTATCCCATGCTTTAAGCTACCATGTGGGACCCTACTGTCTTCCATGAGATTGATAGTGAGGCTGTAGACAATGTGCAACTGTGGAATGGAAACAATTAACTTGGCCAGTTTGCTTTGAACTGCAATATCTTATCATAGTTTGGTTTCTGTATTATGGTCTGAACTTCCTGCACTGACTTTAACATGGACTTTAACTTTGGAGTTTCAGGTATGATGTCTAGAATCTTTTTGTTAGGTCAAATGTGCACTATGATCTCACATATAGATATCTAAAGTAATCTTATGAACAGACAGAAATTTATTAGTTCACTTTTTTTATGGTACTGGGGATCAAACCCAAGTTCCTGCACATGCTAGGCAAACACTCTACCACTGAGAAAGGCCCTCACTGTGTTTTGATCATGCTTTATCTTTGAAAGCTTGATGGCATTCCCTCTTCAAATCATAGCTTACAGAAATCTCATTATATGGTTCATGCAAATGAGCAGATAGGTTGGTTAATAACTCAGTTAATTTAAAACTCTGGTGATCAGAGAGTGCATTATAAATTTTCATTCCCCTTTTTATTGTTTTTTTTCCCCTGCTCACAGAAGAGAGGATCCATTTGTTTCTGAAATGCTGTTGGTTCGTGGCATGCAGGAGTCTTTGCTAGACTTTCCTGGAGGCCTTATTTTCATTGAGGGGGAGTTGGCAGAACTGGGTTGGAAGTTTATCACTCTGATGCATCACAATCAGCAGGTATTTAGCCCGTACTATACTGAGATCCTAAATAATGTCATCCTTCCTGCTCAGGCACAAGAAACAGAAGTAGAGCCTATCTAATTGTGCTGGACCCAGCCATGGCAACAGGGACCCAGAAGAGAGGGTTCAGCATGTTCCTGGAATAACATCACCTATGGCCAACAAAGCAGGCAGCTCTCTCCCTTATTACAGCTGCAAGGGTCAAGTATATAAACACCAATTGGCCCTTAAATACCACCTTCCCTTAATAAATTTATGAGATGCAAGATGCTGGTAGCAGGCCCGCCCTGGCCCCTGGGGACTCAACCCCCAGTTCTTTGTTATGCATGTCAATGTGGCCAGCTCACAAGGCCGAGACCCGGGCTTGCGGTTTCCCTGTTTATCTGCCTCACGCATATGTGTCTCTCGGGAACATCTTGACCTGTTTGAGCCTCCTGACAGGGGACGGTGACGTGACGGTAACCCAAGGACGCAGTTACTTCTCTTCCCTCCTCACTTTTGAGTGATTTCCCGCAGCTGTTAAAAAGATATATAAGGGGAACAAATTTGGCAATAAAGCGCACACACGCTCCCTCCTGGATGAAGAACCTTGGTGTCCTGTGTATTTTTTAACCCCGCCGTCCCTCGCCAGACTCGGCTCCGTTAGCCAGACGCGGCATCTGGTGGTTCTCACCGAGATCTGGAAAGTAGGGGTAAGCGTACGGGGCTCACCTTCTAAAGGTAGAAGGGGGAGGATTGGTTTAAAGATAATTTAAAGAGACAGGGTACGTACCATGGTTAACTCAACAGTGAAGGTTCGTCTGGCCAACGAACTAAAAGAGCTGTTAAATACACAAGGAACAGGAATAAAGACTAAGACTGCAACCAAATTCGTTGAAGTTATCACCCAGGCTTGTCCTTGGTTTCTGACAGGAGGCTTTCTCAATAACAATGATTGGGATTTGGTTTGGCAACAGCTTTGCAGGGCTGTGTTGTCCGGAGGGGATTTTTTGTTGTGGAAAAGTGAAAATCAAGAGAGGTGTCGCGAGCCAGCCCGAGTCAATCAGGATGCCGGCTTCCCACGGCGTAACCTCGAAATGTTAACAGGCTTGGGACAATATGCTGTCATAAATCAGCAAATTAATTATGACCTTGGGATCTATGCTCAGATAGCCACAGCAGCCGTTCAGGCCTGGAAGGCTCTACCTGTTTCAAATGCTGAAACAAAAATTTCAAAAATTGCTCAAGGACCCTCTGAGCCTTATTCTGACTTCATAGCCCGATTGATGCAGATAGCGGGAAAGATATTCCCTAACTTGGAACAAGCCATGCCGGTGTTTAAACAATTTGGAGCAGCGAGTGCCGTTCCAAGTTTGATGCCCAGGGTAACCCAATACCGTCGGGAAATGGGAGCAGGGGCCCGCCCCGGGCCCCGGAAGCCAAAGTGTATGGGGCAGTGCTGGGACGAAACAGTGCCCCGGGGAGTGGGCGTCTCCGCCGCCTCCCCCTGACCAACCCCTTTCTATCTGGGAACTCCCCAGGGGAACACCAGGAAGCGCAGGACTGGACCTCAGTTCCACCTCCCGAGCAGTACTGACTCCGCAGATGGGTCCCCAGACCCTGCTGACTGGAGCCTTTGGCCCTTTGCCGGAGGGAACTATGGGACTGATACTGGGAAGAGGCAGCACTCTGCATAAAGGGCTCAGAATTCTTACAGGTGTGGTTGACGGTGATTACCACGGGGAGTTAAAAATTGTTGCTGAGGCTACCCAAGGGATCGTTATTATTCCTCCCGGAGAACGCATAGCACAATTCTTGCTGCTGTCGGCGTCGTCCCTACCCAGCCACGCCCTACAGGCAGCCCAGGTGAAGGACCTCAAGGCCCCAGGCCCAACATTAGGAAATCTAACCCCTGGGCCCTGAAGCTGCAAGATGCTCCCTTACACAACCCCCATGTCAAGACCCCTCCAGCAGCACGTAGCATTTCGAGTCCTGCACAATGCTACCACAAGATGTTCCATATAGATAACCCTAACGGTCAAACTTGAGGAACAAGTTTAAAAAAAAAAAAAAAAAAAGGAACCGAAAGGACAGGATGCAGGTTTAAAAACAGGAACTAAAAAGACAGGATGCAATTCTATGGTTTTCCCGAGAACAAAAAGTTGAAAAACAAGTTTACCCCCCAGGTGACCTAACGACTGGATTCAGAGGAACCAATAGAATAACTGTTACCGTGCTAAGCTAAAAACTAACCCCCTGCTCCCTATAAAAGATCTGTGCCCTAGAGCCCGGTGTGCCAGTTCACCGAAGCTCCGGCTGAGGTTTCGCTGAGCACCCACAGGCGCCTGTGTATCAATAAATCGCCTCTTGCTTTTGCAGCCAGTGTCTCGTGTGCTTTTCCTTGGACAGGGAGTCGGAGGGTCTTTCACAGGGTAATGGCAGTTTTGGTTCCACCGGCACCCCTCAAACCTTTTGGGTAGCACACTTGGACTCCCGACCACAGTTAACCATTAAAATACAGGATAAAATCTTCAAGGGGATATTAGATTCAGGAGCTGATGTCTCTGTTATCTCTAAGAAACAATGGCCATCTGCTTGGCCTCTCCAAGATCCCTCAGCTGTATTACAGGGGATTGGGCAGATGAGACCAGAAAAAAGTGCCTCCTTTCTAAAATGGAGAGATGAGGAAGGACACAGTGGTTATTTTCAGCCTTACGTAGTGGCTGGACTCCCCACAAACCTTTGGGGAAGGGACCTACTTCAACAAATGGGAGCTATCCTCACCACTCAGACCCTAAAAGGGAGTAATAAATTTGTTGATGACATGATGTTAGATATGGGATGGCTTCCCGGAAAAGGACTGGGGAAAAGACATGAGGGAAGGGCAACGCCTGTGGACCCTACAGAAGAAATTACCAGAAGTGGAGGAGATCGGAGGGGGCTAGGAAATTTATCCTAGGGGCCACTGAAATGCGGCCATGTCCTCTATCTATTACTTGGTTATCAGATGACCCTGTGTGGATAGAACAGTGGCCCCTAACTAAGGACAAATTGCAGGCCGCGACCCTTCTGGTTCAGGAACAGCTTAGGGTGGGGCATATAGTGCCTTCCACTTCCCCCTGGAACACTCCTATTTTTGTCATAAGAAAGGGGTCTGGAAAATGGAGGCTTCTCCAAGACCTGCAGGCTATTAATAATACCATGCAGCCCATGGGACCTTTACAGCCAGGACTACCCTTCCCCATGGCTATCCCTAAAGATTGGCATCTTATTATTTTGGACCTAAAAGATTGCTTCTTTTCTATTCCCCTGGCCCCCCCAGGATCGCAAACGTTTTGCTTTCTCTTTACCTTCAATAAATTTTAGGGAACCCTATCAGCAGTTTGAATGGACTGTCTTACCTCAAGGAATGGCTAATAGCCCTACTATGTGTCAGTACTTTATAGCAAAAATTCTGCAACCCTTTAGGCAACAATTCCCAAACTTTTACCTCGTCCATTATATGGATGATATATTGTTGGCAGGCCCTGATAGGAAAGCACTTTTCCGGTCTTATGAAGTCCTCCAGTCCCTGTTAAAGGGGGCCAGACTGATTATAGCCCCAGAGAAGGTGCAGATTCAGTATCCTTATAACTATCTAGGATATACTATTAACAAGGTAGGGATCACTCCCCAGAGGCCTCAATTTCAGGTGAACCAGCTCAAAACCCTGCACCAATGGCAGACATTTCTGGGGGAAATCCAATGGCTGCGGCCTTCCCTCCATGTCCCTACTGGTGAACTTAAACCCCTGTATGACCTTTTGAGAGGAGACCCCTCACCCACCTCCCCGCAAAAACCTACTCCAGAAGCCTTGAAGGCGCTTAGATTGATAGAGACAGCCTTACAAGAGATGCAGGTGATGCAGGTGGACTACTCCCAGTCCTTGTTATTCATTGTTCTGCCGTCAAAACTCACCCCGACTGGAGTCTTTTGGCAGACTGGTCCTATTTATTGGGTTCACTTACCTGCATCCCCCTCCCGGGTCTTGATACCTTTCCATGATCTGGTAATACAATTAGTTTGGAAAGCAAAATATCTAGGAGATGCCTTGTTTGGGAAAACCTTTGATGTTCTCATATTACCATATAATCAAGACATTCTTTCTAAATTAAGACAGGAACATGATCTCTGGTGTCTATTCTTCTGTAGTTTCATGGGACAGGTTGACAATCACTACCCTAAAAGCAGGCTCCTTGAAAGTCTAAAGACATGTCCAATAATTTTCCCAAAGATCCTAAAAAAGGATCCTCTCCCGGGGGCACAAACCGTCTTCACTGACGGGGCCAAAAATGGGTTTTCTGTCGTTTCAGATGGGACCCAAGTCATCCGCAAGAGAGTGGCCGATTGTTCGGCCCAAAAAGCGGAGGTTGCAGCCTTAATATTGGCCTTACAGACCTATAGCTCGGTGCCCCTTAATGTTTTCACAGACAGTCTCTATATCGCCAGGCTCGCCTCCGCGATTGAGACGGCACCTTATATTGGAAAACAATCCACTATCATGGATCAACTACAAACAGTGCAGCTTCTTATATGGGCTAGGGCAGACCCCCTCTTCATAGGTCACATTAGAAGTCATTCTGGACTTCCAGGTCCTCTGGCGGTGGGCAACGCCATGGCAGACGCTGCCACACATGCCACTAATTTTATATATACAATAACTGAGTATGATAAGGCCCTACAACTTCATAATAAATTTCACCTAAACGCACAAACTTTGCGCTTCCGCTCAGGATGTTCCCGGGATCAAGCTTTAAAAATTGTCTCCCTATGACCTACTTGTGCACCTTTTATCCATTCCCCTTCTCTGGGAGTCAACCCAAGGGGCCTTCAGCCAAACGACATCTGGCAAACTGATGTAACTCATATTCCTAGTTTTGGAAAACTATCTTTTGTGCATGTCAGTATAGACACGTTCTCTGGTTTTATCTCCGCTACTTTACATTCAGGAGAAAAGGCTAAGGACGTGATACAGCACTATGTTAAAACCTTTTCCTTTATGGGAACCCCTCGATGTATAAAAACAGATAATGGCCCAGCTTATATTAGTCAAACCTTCCAAA